TAGATAACACAAAAATAATTTTCCTCTCCTTTTGATCACTGACAGAGTATATATATATATATTTTTTCTTTTTTTTCTTTTTTTTTTGTGGTACGCCATTCTCTCACTGTTGCGGCCTTTCCCGTCGCGGAGCACAGGCTCCGGACGCGCAGGCTCAGCGGCCATGGCTCACGCGCCCAGCCGCTCCGCGGCATGTGGGATCTTCCCAGACCGGGGCACGAACCCGTGTCCCCTGCATCGGCAGGCGGACTCTCAACCACTGCGCCACCAGGGAAACCCCCAGACAATTCTTCATCAGAAACTTCACTTTTTTAAAAGTTGAAGACATTATATACATCTGTAAAATATCAATAAATACTCAAATGTCTTCACCAAAACGAAAAATGTTAAATGAAAGAGATATGAGCTACAAAAATAGTCATGCTGAAATGTGTTAAGCAAAAACTCAGACCTTTCATCTTGCAGACCAGACACTTAAGTGTAGTTTCTAAGTGCCTATAAATTAATTTTTTAAAGTTTCATTTTAGATTATCTGCTTTAAAAGTGTATGAACAAAAAAGGGCGACTTTTAAAAAGTTAATTGTTTTAGCCAGTGAAAATGCAATATATTCAACTAAATTGGATAACTGATGATTTGGTTAGACAAAGGATTATATATACAAAATTACCCACATTGTACTAGATAGTTCACATATCTGAAAAGTTTTAACAATGTTATGGAACTCTGTAACACTTATGAGTAGATTAGTTTTCAGATTTTGTTACTGAGGATATCTCTTTCATGAAAGATATTTCTTGCATTTTTATAATTTCAGAAGGCACAGTAATTAAACTGGTTTTATTGACAAGTAAAGCAGAATGATTCTATAAATGAAGTGGGTGGCACAGGCCCGATCAATTTTCTTATTTAAAAAGATACATTACCCAATTGTGTAATGCCTATTAAGTGTGTGGTGAAGTTAGTTAAAGTGCTTTATTTGCTAATTACATATACCTTCTTTATGATTCCTATTACACTATTTACTATGCCTATTTGAAAAGCTAATTATTTATTAAGACTGCTCAAGAGAAAGAATTTCACTCTTGAATGGAAAGAGAAATAAAGCTTAGGTCCTTAAGCAAATGATATCGTTTTATTTCCACAGTGTTGGTTTGATAAATTCTCTTTATTATTATTGATTCTGAAGCCGATAATAACATCACATCATCATTTGGGACATTCAAAATCTAATTTGTATAATTTGTATTAATTATAATAACATCCAACTCAGTTACAGGAAGTTTGGGAGTCAGAAAGTCTTTCAGTAAAAAAAATGGCCACATCAGGTATTAAAAGAAGACATTTGATATGTACTTTTCAGAATATTTTTAAGTTCAATCTTCAAAATGAAAAATATTTTCCTAATAAAACATGTTATAATTCCCTCTCTATTTCCAAAAATAGTAATTGAGAACATAAAAATTCAACTCAACACCACAAATAATAGTATGCTCCATAACATCACTTACAATGTCATTCAACTACTCATAAACAAATTGAGAATAACATTGTTTAATTCATTCTACAGCATTCATTAAGCCTATCTATGTACCAGGTACTCTGCTGGGCACCTGGGATTAAATTATGAATGAAACACTATTCTTACCCTCAAAGAGCTTTCTGTTTAGCAGAGGAGAAAATCACATATAACAGCAAATATGTGATAGGTATCGTTATAATAGTGGTATATATATTTGGTTATGCAAGTTTAAATGAAAGAGTAATCAACTCAACTCATCCAATAACTAACTTTCATAAAAACTCATATAAACTTCATTGAAAAGTATAAATCCCATAAATCATCATGCATATGGATAAGAACTCTGCTTATTTCAATGACAGCAATAATTCTTTATCTTTACAAAAGTATAGTTCTAAAAAATATAGTCATCCATTGTTTCAAGACATACCAGGAACAAAACAGAATTAAACTTGAAAAGATGTACCAAATACTAGTCAAACTCATTCCGACCTCACAGTAACCCTGTGAAGTAAATTTTTCTATTATCCCCGCTTTATAGATGGGGAATCTGAGGTTACCGCGGCCAAGATCACGACGATAGCAAGAGGAAATGCTGGCACTTGAACCTACAGTCTGGTTGTGGAGGTCCCCTTAACCACTACATCACACATCCTCTCAGTGGACGATGATGATGGTGATGATGGTGATGATGATGATGGGGCAGCTAACAGCAAGTACTCTGTGACTTGTGCCCTCTCACTTATCCTTAAGGCAACCCTTCGATGAAAAGTCATTCCTCCCGTTTACAGGAGAAAACCCTCACAGGCCAGGTTTGAAACCTGCCTAAGGTCAGTCAGCCGTCCAGGGATGGTGGCTAGATTCAAACTCAGGCAGCATGGCTCCCCTCTGCTCTGAGGCCTCTCAATAATTCAGTCTTACACTCAAGAAAAAGACCACATAATGAAATTTATTAAACAATTCAAAAAGACTTTGTATAAGTCTTCCTGAAACACTCTGCAAGGTTTTGGGGCTTATGATAAGCATTTCCTTATGACAGCACTTACATTTGAGTCAACTTTACTACTTTTGGCTGATCATAAACACATTTCTCCTCTTTAAAAAGAAATCTTTCTGTAGAAACTTGGCAGATTTCAGTACAGGAACAGTCTATTCTTTACAATTAAATTTATCAACAACTTATTCTGGTTAGTCTGAAAGAGAAGGAGAGAATGAACTACTAAAAGGCCTTTCCTGTACTTTAATATTTCAAAACATGTTTGGTTTGGCCTAATTTGAATCTTGTGGACAACTAGACCAGAACTTGATTCAAAAAGAGGAATACCATTTTAAATAGGCTGAATTCTCAAAAGCGACCTCAGAAGGTGATTCAGAGTAACTATTTCTCATAATTTTTAGTTTTATCTCAAATTAAATATTAAAGATGCACAGGGCAAGATTCTCATAAAGCATATATGGCCAAGTATGTGTACTTTTGAACAGCCAACAACCAAGAGACCAAATTAAAATTTTGTTCAAGAGCAATCAAGTATACAAAAGAGAGATATCAAAAGAAAAAAAAAGCCCTTTTTGTCCTTAGCACACCCCACTGTGCCCAGTGACAGAGAAATAAAAAATTCTGTGCTTTAATTTCTTGCTAGAATAGAGGTGAGCTAAAGATGAAGTGTCAAGCTGGATTTGCATCTTACCTTGCTTTCCTCCAACAGGTTCAAAGACTTCATAACCTTTACGTTAATACTGAATTCACGTTTTTTTTTCAAAAGGGAACCTAAAGAACTATTTTAAAATAAAAATAGTAAGCCATGCCACAAGGCAACCTGTCTTTTCTTGGTCTATCTCCACACATTCAAATTAGAAATACCTTTTACTTTGCCTTTATTGAATAAAAGTTTAACTTTGATTTGGAGGAAAACCTACCCATTAGCCGTTTTGCACTTTTTGCAGGTCATACAGTCTATCAGATCACATCGTTGACTATGACCACTCACTAAGAAAGCATGCCATTACAGCTCATTTTATAAGCATTATAATGCCCCGATGGTGGAAGTCTGGCAATACCTAGAAATACAGCAAGGCTGGTGAATAAGGAGTCGAGGGGCGGGGGAAGAGGGAGCGAGGGGGAGGCAGTCGCCACCTCAAATCCACGCCTGACCGGGAACCTCCAGCCCACAACGTGATCCCTGCCCTCCCCAGAGTGGACCGGCTACAACATTTTTCTAGATTCTCCCCCACCCCTCCGCCAACCCAACACGGTACTCACCCTTCTGTGAAGTCGGCACCGGGTCCAGCCCCGAGACGGGTCGGGGTGGCAGCGAGGGAGGGGACGTCTGGGCTGTGGGCGGAGGGTGTCGCTGCGTCACTCGAGTGCAGGACGCTGAGTTCGAGGGGTGGGAGCGGAGAGGGGCAGGAAAATCAAGTCACGGCCGCAAAGGGACAAGGAGAAACGGGGGGGGGGGGGGGGGGAGAGCCCCTTCCCTAAAATAAACCCACCGGCCCCTGCGACCCCCCTGCCCCAGGGAGGGAAAATAAAATCAGAGGAAATAAAAGACTGACAAATAAATCCCTAAAACGACGAGGAGCGAGGAATAGACTTTAATTTAAAGGGGGGAGATTGAGCGAGGGCTGGAGGGGAGAGAGAAGTGGCTCTAGGTCTATCCCATGCCTTTGCAGTCCCCAAGCAGAGGAGGAGGCTGGCTGAGGGGAAGTTGCAGCGGCTCCTGAGGAGGAGGCGGAGGAGGCGGAGGAGGAGGTTACACCGTAACAAGTACAGACAGCCATGGATCAGAGGGGCGCTGCGAGAAGGGGCGGCCGCGGCTGGGCGAGCGGCGGCGGCGGCAGCACCGCCTGCTCGGCTCGCTCAAGACATTTAATTGGATTGATAGGTTGTGCAGTGACTCACAGACTTTACAGAGTCGTACAGCAGTCCCCGCCCAGCTGGACAGGGGAGACGCGGCGGGGACGGGAGGGGAAAGGGGGCAGTGGAAGAGCCGGGAGGGGAGGAGGCGACTGAGAGGGCGAGGCTTTGGGGGGGGGGCGGGGAGCGGAGAGAAGCCACCCAGTGGCGAAGCCTGCCGCTCCGACGGGCGTGGGCGTCGGCCAATGACGGCGCGGCTCGATAGGCGGCTGGCTTCGCCCCTGGCCCAATGAGTCTTCTAAGGACACTGCCGCGAACTGGAGTAGGGAGGGGGAATGGAGTGGGGGCTGGGGAGAGGTGGGTGGACGTTGAAAAGGGGGGTGGAGGGAAAGATGAGGCGCCGGAGACCAGCGGAGTCACTCTGCCCTCCTCGCTCCGAAGTGCGCCTTCTGCCAATCCCGGGGCCGCATGGAGGTGATGGACGCAAGTGTGTGACCAATGAGGAGGAGAAGCTGCCTCAGAGAGCCAGAGGGGAAGGAGTGGGCGGGCCAACGCCCTCCCCTCCCTCAGGCGCCCAGGTCCTCCCTCCTGCCCATTTCGGGTCAGTCAAGCAAATAACAGTGAGAGGGTTGGGGCCGTGCTGGGTGGGGTGGGGTGGGGGGCGGAGGGGCCGCGCTGCTGGCGGCGTGACAGCGATAGGGACTGGCTGTGCTGCCGACTCCGCGCCGGCAGGAGGAGGAGGCGGCGGAGGCTGGCTCCTTACTCAGCCTGCAGGCTGTTACTGCTGCTGCTGCTCAGCCTCTGCCTGGTGCTGCCGGGGAGCCTCTGCGGCCAAACCCCACTCTCGAGTGGCAGACAGATTTGGAGTGAATCACATCAAAACTTTACCTCAGGTCGGTGCAGTGCCCACTCTTGGAGGCAGCTCCGTGTGACGCCCTGTGGGGCTGTGCTCTTGGAGCTGAGGGAGCTGGACGCCAGAGACCGGAGGCTTGGCAATGGCATTTGCCTCCTTGCTTGCCTGTTTTCTGGGGAAGTCAGGGTAGGGTGTGGACAGGTTGAAACAGCTCCTGAATGCATACCATTTCTTTATTGAGTTTCTGGAAAAGGCACTTCTTAACCTGGCATGAGTGAAGCTGTATGGGCTTTGTGCGTGTATATATGTATTAGCTCCCTCCAGCCCTCTCTCCCGCACCGCTCCCACTTCTCTGCCCACGGTCCTCACCTTGTACCCTGACAGCAATCCTAGGGAGCACTCACTACTAGATCTTCTCGCGGCTCATTCCCAGGAGCTATGGCTTTTTCTCAATTTCTTGCCTACTGTCTCGTAATCATTTTACAGACCTTAACACTTTCCACGCACTTGTACTTGAAAGGAACTGTTATCACTAATAAACCTGAACAGAGATGCCCACAAAAGCAAATACACTGGCAAAAATCCACCTTCTTTCCCACAAGGTGCATTTCTGCACGTTATTTGAAATTTACGACAATTGCTTCCTACCAAGAAACCAAGGAAAGACAAATCACATATCACATACCTACAAAAAAAAGATTTTCAAAACCACTTAGAATACCCAAAGTCCATTCTCCATAGACAAGTCAACTAGAGAGACCTAGGGTTGATTTACGGTCTTGAAGTGAGCAAGATCATTTTTTTTCCCCCATAATTATAAGATTAAAACCTACAGTGGTCTGGAATTCAGAGGAGACATAATAAGTGAACAATAAGCCTTCAGGCTTATTCCAGTTGGGGCTTTCCTTGATTATTGTCATTTTAAGGTATGGATCCTTCCCCTAAACTGTAATTGTGACACTCAGCCTGACACCACTTACCTCTTCTCTTTCTGATTTTAGCCCTACTCCATGATTTCAGCCTGTATCCTAAGAATATGAACCGGGCTGCAGACTTCTCATAGTGCCCAGATTGTGTACCTGTTGCCCCTCGGTGTTTTGAAACTTCTTCGGAGTTCGTCAGTGCAAGGAGGCCAGCATCCTCATCCCAGGACATAGTGATCTGCAGGAGGTGGGCCATGTTCCCTTAGCCAGGTCACCCTGTGATAATTTAAACACACTAAATCCCTCATGTGAGAAAAATCAGCTCTGTTTCTAGTGTGGGCTGTTTTACTGCATTTAAGAATAATGCTGATAATACTTTTTAGAAAGCCTGTTTCTTATTTCTTTCACTGTGAGGTCATTTTATGGCTCAGGTGAATATCATTGGTCGGAGTGTTATCTTACATACTGTGGATGGTACTGAAAACACAGAAAGAGATTTTGAGTCTAGACATATACTAGTATCTTTCAGAGGATCTCCAAATAGCTAGGGTGAGCATCCTGTGGCAGAAGTTGCTCCTTTGTCAGTTGTTATTGGCATGTCTCCAGTCCCCACCATGTGTCATTTTCTAATTCTGTGCTCACCCTATTCCAGTATTTCTTAAATGGTTGTCTAAGGCCAACCTAGATTCCTGAGTCTGCTCTCAGATCTATTGACTCATTATCTCTGTAGTCTGGTCCTGGACATCTGTTTTTTTAGCAAATACCCCCGGTGACTTGAATAAATATTAAAATATCAGATGTTTCATTTGAAAACCCCTGTTTACTCCTTCCTTTTGAAAATTTAAAAACCCTTATTTATTTCTTCCTTTCTTCTTTTTCCCTTTCTCACACATATCTATTTCCTTTCTTCCACATATATTCCTTTCTCCTATATATTTTGTATCTCTCATTTTTGTGATCACTTCCCTTTCTACATTTCTTGTGCACAGGACTGTCTTATACACTGGCAGGGTGATCCCTAACAAAAAAATGATGAAGTTGGCAAATGGGCTTTCATAAATACCATAGGCATACCTTATAACTACAACACTTAAAATATGGGGAAGTCAAATAAATGTATAAGCTTAAAAATATCATTGTAATTGATGTTATGTATAAATCTACAATATGTGTGAAACTTACTAGTTTATGATTTCAAAGTATACAAAGACAGAATTTTTTATATGTGGGAATCACATTTCAAAATGCAAATTTCAATATACAAATGATAATACATTTATATTGTTACTGTCATTTTTTTTCTAAACAGTGGAGTGAGACTAATGATGTGCTAAGAACTATTATGGTTACCAAAAAAAAAAAAAAAGTACTACATGAGATTTTTGTTATCTCATAGAGCTTATATACAACCCACATGGACCGGGAAGCAAAAGCACATCCTTTATTGAAGATAGAGGCTTCAACCCGGTCTCATTAGCATTCCCAAAGAGAGAGCCCAAACATTAGCTCACAATCCAAATTACAAAACAAATGAAGAAAAAACCCACCATGACTTAATTGATATTTATAAGACATTCCATCCAAAAATAACAGAATACACTTTCTTCTCAAGTGCTCATGGAACATTCTCCAGAATAGATCATATCTTGGGGCACAAATCAAGCCTCAGTAAATTTAAGAAAATTGAAATCAAGTATCTTTTCCAACCACAACGCTATAAGGCCAGATATCAATTACAGGAAAAAGTTTATAAAAATACAAACACTTGGAGGCTAAATAATATGCTACTAAATAACCAAGAGATCACTGAAGAAATCAAAGAGAAAATCAAAAAATACCTAGAAACAAATGACAATGAAAACACGACGACACGAAACTTATGGGATGCAACAAAAGCAGTTCTAAGAGGGAAGTTTATAGAATACAATCCTACCTCAAGAAACAAGAAACATCTCAAATAAACAACCTAACCTTACACCTAAAGCAATTAGAGAAAGAAGAACAAAAAAACCCCAAAGTTAGCAGAAGGAAAGAAATCATAAAGATCAGATCAGAAATAAATGAAAAAGATATGAAGAAAACAATAGCAAAGATCAATAAAACTAAATGCTGTTTATTTGAGAAGATAAAATTGATAAACCATTAGCCAGACTCATCAAGAAAAAAAGGGAGAAGACTCAAATCAATAGAATTAGAAATGGAAAACAAGAAGTAACAACTGGCACTGCAGAAACACAAAGGATCATGAGAGATTACTACAAGCAACTATATGCCAATAAAATGGACAACCTGGAAGAAATGGACAAATTCTTAGAAAAGCACAAGACTGAACCAGGAAGAAATAGAAAATATAAACAGACCAATCACAAGCACTGAATTTGAGACTGTGATTAAAAATCTTCCAACAAACAAAAGCCCTGGACCAAATGGCTTCACAGGCGAATTCTATCAAACGTTTAGAGAAGAGCTAACACCTATCCTTCTCAAACTCTTCCAAAATATAGCACAGGGAGGTACACTCCCAAACTCATTCTACGAGGCCACCATCACCCTGATACCAAAACCAGACAAAGATGTCACAAAAAAAGAAAACTACAGGCCAATATCACTGACGAACAAAGATGCAAAAATCCTCAACAAAATACTAGCAAACAGAATCCAACAGCACATTAAAAGGATCATACACCATGATCAAGTGAGGTTTATCCCAGGAATGCAAAGATTCTTCAATATACGCAAATCAATCAATGTGATACACCATATTAACAAATTGAAGGAGAAAAACCATATGATGATTTCAATAGATGCAGAGAAAGCTTTTGACAAAATTCAACACCCATTTATGATAAAAACCCTCCAGAAAGTAGGCATAGAGGGAACTTAACATAATAAAGGCCATATATGACAAACCCACAGCCAACATCATTCTCAATGGTGAAAAACTGAAACCATTTCCTCTAAGATCAGAAACAAGACAAGGTTGTGCACTCTCACCATTATTATTCAACATAGTTTTGTAAGCTTTAGCCACAGCAATCAGAGAAGGAAAAGAAATAAAAGGAATCCAAATCAGAAAAGAAGAAAAGCTGTCACTGTTTGCAGATGACATGATACTAGAGAATCTTTAGAGAATCCTAAAGATGCTACCAGAAAACTACTAGAGCTAATCAATGAGTTTGGTAAAGTAGCAGGATACAAAATTAATGCACAGAAATCTCTTGCATTCCTATACACTAATGATGAAAAATCTGAAAGAGAAATTAAGGAAACACTCCCATTTACCACTGCAACAAAAAGAATAAAATACCTAGGAATAAACCTACCTAAGGAGACAAAAGACCTGTATGAAGAAAACTATAAGACACCGATGAAAGAAATTAAAGATGATACAAACAGATGGAGAGATATACCATGTTCTTGGATTGGAAGGATCAACATTATGAAAATGACTCTACTACCCAAAGCAATCTACAGATTCAGTGCAATCCCTATCAAACTACCACTGGCATTTTTCACAGAACTAGAACAAAAAATTTCACAATTTGTATGGAAACACAAAAGACCCTGAATAGCCAAAGCAATCTTGAGAAAGAAAAATGGAGCTGGAGGAATCAGGCTCCTGGATTTCAGACTATACTACAAAGCTACGGTAATCAAGACAGTATGGTACTGGCACAAAAACAGAAATATAGATCAATGGAACAAGATAGAAAGCCCAGAGATAAACCCACACACATATGGTCACCTTATTTTTGATAAAGGAGGCAAAAATGTACAATGGAGAAAAGACAGCCTCTTCAATAAGTGGTGCTGGGAAAACTGGGCAGCTACATGTGAAAGAATGAAATTAGAACACTCCCTAACACCATACACAAAAATAAACTCAAAATGGATTAAAGACCTAAATGTAAGGCCAGACACTATCAAACTCTTAGAGGAAAACATAAGCAGAACACTCTATGACATAAATCACAGCAAGATCCTTTTTGACCCACCTCCTAGAGAAATGGAAATAAAAACAAACAAATGGGACATAATGAAACGTAAAATCTTTTGCACAGCAAAGGAAAACATAAACAAGACCAAAAGACAACCCTCAGAATGGGAGAAAATATTTGCAAATGAAGCAACTGACAAAGGATTAATCTCCAAAATTTATAAGCATCTCATGCAGCTCAATATCAAAGAAACAAACAACCTAATCCAAAAATGGGCAGAAGACCTAAACAGACATTTCTCCAAAGAAGATATACAGATGGCCAACAAACACATGAAAGGATGCTCAACATCACTAATCATTAGAGAAATGCCAATCAAAACTACAATGAGGTATCACCTCACACCAGTCAGAATGGCCATCATCAAAAAATCTACAAACAATAAATGCTGGAGAAGGTGTGGAGAAAAGGGAACCCTCTTGCACTGTTGGTGGGAATGTAAATTGATACAGCCACTATGGAGAACAGTATGGAGGTTCCTTAAAAAACTAAAAATAGAACTACCATATGACCCAGCAATCCCAGTACTGGGCATATACCCTGAAAAAACCATAATTCAAAAAGAGTCATGTACCACAATGTTCACTGCAGCTCTATTTACAATAGCCAGGACATGGAAGCAACCTAAGCGTCCATCGACAGATGAATGGATAAAGAAGATGTGGCACATATATATAATGGAATGTTACCCAGCCATAAAAAGAAACAAAACTGAGTCATTTGTAGTGAGGTGGATGGACCTAGAGTCTGTCATACAGAGTGAAGGAAGTCAGAAAGAGAAAAACAAATACCATATGCTAACACATATATATGGAATCTAAAAAAAAAAAAAAAAAAAAGTTCTGAAGAACCTAGGGGCAGGACAGGAATAAAGACAGAGATGTAAAGAATGGACTTGAGGACACGAGGAGGGGGAAGGGTAAGCTGGGACGAAGAGAGTGGCATGGACATATACACATTACCAAATGTAAAATAGCTAGCTAGTGGGAAGTAGCTGCATAGCAGAGGGAAATCAGCTCTGTGCTTTGTGACCACCTAGAGGGGTGGGTAGGGAGGGTGGGAGGGAGATGCAAGAGGGAGGAGATATGGGGATATATGTATATGTATAGCTGATTCACTTTGTTATAAAGCAGAAACTAACACACTATTGTAAAGCAATTATACTCCAATAAAGATATTTTTAAAAAAAAGAAAAAAAAAACGCCACCATGAGCAAGAGGAGGCAGAGAAGGAAAAAAAGAAAAACAGCAGAATTAGACCCTAAATCTGAAAATGGACAATTTAAAAATAGGCCCATTTCGCTTCTGAACATAAATGCAAAAATTTCTAAATATTAACTAACCGAATCCAACATTCTTACTCCAGTGAACTAGGAAAACCCTTGCTATTCATTTCCCTCTCTTTAGAATATACCTGTCTAGCTACCTATCTAGCCATTTATCATGAAAACATAATAAGTAGGGTTTATTCTAGAAATTCAAGTATGATTTAACATCAGAAAACCTATCCAAATAACTCACCTCAGAAAGAATAAGAGAGAAAAATCATTCGAGAATGTGCATCATTATTAATAATAAAAACTTTCAGGAAAGTTAGGAATAGTAAGAAATTTACTTAACTTTATGAAGGACCAAAAATGTACAGCAAAATATTATAAATTGATTAACTTTAAACACATTCCATTTAAGTGTAGGATCAAGAGAAGGTTGCCACTGCTGTTTAACATGATATTGAAAGTCCTGGCTGACAAAATAAGATTTGTAATAAAAGGAAGAAGAAATTAAATAGAAGAATCAGAAGGAAAGAGATAAAATTGGGATTGTTTGCAGTAATATGATCAACCACATAAAACACCTTATAGAAACAATAAGCTATTAGAAATAATAAAAGAATGCAGCAAGGTGACAGAGATGCTTTTCTCCCCTTCTTCCAAAGAACTACTTTTTTTTTTATAGGGCACAAGGCCAACCAGAATAAAGACAACATTTGCTAGCCTCCCTTGTAGCTAAGTATTGCCATGTTCCAGGCAATGGGTTAAAAGCAGAACTGGTGCACACATTCCTAAAAGGAGGGAATGTGCCTCATCCTCTTTCCTGCCATCTGAAATGAAGATACAATAGCTGGAGCTTCGGCAGTCATCCTAGACCGTGAGCTGAGTTTGAATATGGAAGCCACACATAGCAGAACAAGAAAGAAGGCACCTGCTATACTAACACCAGCCCTAAAATGTCTACCTCCAAACTTTGGAACTTCTTGAATAAACATCTATCTCATTCACGCCACTGTTATTTTAGTTTGTGTATGTGTGTGCCTGGTGTTACAGATAGCCAAACCTTATCCTGATACAGCAAGATTCCCAAATTCAAAATCAATTCATGAAAACCAAAAGTATACTTACATACTAGTACTAACAAACTAGAAAATAAGATACTTCTTACAATGGCAACAAAACTCTAAAGTTTTTGGGAATTAACCTAAGAAAAAAATGCACAAAACTTTCATGGGAAAAAATGTTAATGCTATTAACAGACTTCAAAGAAGACCTGAATAGGGGTATATATAATGTCTGTGGATAGGAGTAACATTCTTAAGATATCAGTGATCTCTAAATGTATTCATAAACTCAGTGCAAACCATTCAAACTTTTAATGGGATTTGAAGAATTTAAACATTCTCAAATACATATGGAAGGTTGAATTCCATTATAATCTGGTCATTTTTGAAAACAAAAATCATAGAGGGGAAATTTACCCTTCCAGATAATGACATAAGTCACAGTAGCAGACATGTAGAACAGTGGGACGGAATAGAGAACTCAGAAACAACACTTTTACCTATGAGAACTTGGTATGTGATAATGGTAACATCACAAATCTATGAGAAAATCATGTAGAGATAGTCAACTATTGCTGCAGTAATAATACCGTGTAATGAACAACCCAGAAATACCAGTGGCTTATAGCAGCCATTGTTTTTTCTCTCTCACAGGTCTCTACTGATCTCATCTGGTCTGGTCAAGACTTGGCTGGACTCAGCCGAATTCAGCTGGGCTTTGCTCCAGGACACAGGTTAGTTCAGGCCTTTATCACATGCCTCATTCTGGCAATGACAGGAGCTCAAGAGATGAAGTCTCATCACCCAAACACATTTAACACGTCTGCTGCCATCTCCTAATATTTCATTGACCAAATTAGTCACATGGCCAAGTCTAACAAATTGGTAGAAGGTGCTGCAAAACCACATGGCAAAGAGCATGGGAGTATAATTCTATAGCATGGAGGACACGAAGGATTGGGAATAATAATCCAACCTAACACACAAGTTTTGTTTCATAGATAATGTTGGAAAAATTGGTTCACCATGGAGAAAAGTAAAGCTGCATCTATATCTCATACCATTTGGAAAGGTGAAATTTCAATGAATAAAAAAACCTAAAAGGGAAAGGGAAAACTATAGAGCTAATAGAAATTAAAAACAGAAGAGTAGCTTTGGAATCTTAGGATAGGAAAAGATTTCTTCAATAAGACTCTGAAAGCATAAACTATAAAACCAAAAGAATGATGAACTTGACTATATCAAAATTAAAGTTTCTGGTTAAAGAACATCATAGACCAGCTAAGAGAAAGTTGATAGACTGAGAGGTGTTTCCAAACCAAGAAGACATTAATGTCTAGGATATAATAGCAATTATATTCCTATTATATTGAGAAGAAAAAAACAGGAAACACAATAGAAAAATAGCCAAAGGATATGAACAGGCAAATTTACAGAAGGGAAGCTTGAGAGACTAACAAGTAGATGAAGAGATATATTGTACAACATGGGAATATAGCAAATATTTTATAATAACTATAAATGGAATATAACCTTTAAAAATTGTGAATCACTATATTGTACACCTGTAACTTACATAATATTGTATACCAACTATACTTCAATTTTAAAAAGTAGATGAAGAGATATACAATCCCACTTATAATCAGATAAATGCATATTAAAGCAACAACACACTTCTTTACATCCATTAAATAGGCAAAAATGTGAAAGTTAGGTAACACCAAGTGTTGGCTAGGATGGGAGGAAGCATGAACTGTCATGCATTGCTATTGGGAGTTAAGTCCCTGGTACAGCTGTTTTGAAGTTATCTGGAAATATGTAATAAAATGTAGTATGTGTTTTCCTGTGGCCCAGCAGTTCCACTCCTGGGAATACATACCTCTAAGAAACTCTTGCACAAGTCCGTAAAAGGGCACAAGCGAGGACAATCATCACAGCAGCAATTGAAGTAGCAGCATATTGTTGGCAAACAGTATATATCACCTGTGCATTACGGAAGGTTAAATAAAACGTAGCATATATCATAGAATAACATGCAACTATTGGAAGTAATGCACTAAGTGTCCATCTTGCAACATGGATAAATCTTTAAAATGTTTTATAAGTAAAAAACAGTAAGAAACAACAAGATGGTGTAAGCCCCAGGCCTTGGGATGTCTTTCACTAGAGGATGCATCAATGTTTTTCATTTCTGCTCTTAGCCGGGCACTTTGAGGGAAGGATAAGGAAGGTGCTGTTATGACTCATTTTCAACTCAAATATTTCCTCCTAGTTTTCACATGAAATTGTGGCAGTTTTCATGTAGGCCCTCCCCACCATGCCCCGGAGTGGACTCCTTCGCAGGCCCCCACGGTTTCTACCACCATGCCATGCCCAATCGCCTCCCTGCTCCCCTATACGTGTTTAATATACATTTATCTGGTTCTAAGTTTCTTTCCCAGGCTGGGTGGGAGGTAAGTGATGGCTCTTGAGGAGTGGCCACAGTCAGAGATACAGAATACACCCTTGCCACTCTGCTTCTCACATCTGCCTACTTCCCCATTTCCAAGTCAGGAACACCCAAACATTACTAGATTTTAAAAAGCTGTATTTCAAGACTGATCTAGAAATGTGTTTGCTTATGTTTTTTGTTTGTTTTTTTTTTTTTTTTGACGGTACGCGGGCCTCTCACTGTTGTGGCCTCTCCCGTTGCGGAGCACAGGCTCTGGACATGCAGGCTCAGCAGCCATGTCTCACGGGCCCAGCCGCTCCGTGGCATGTGGGATCTTCCCAGACGGGGGCACGAACCCGTGTCCCCTGCATTGGCAGGCGGACTCTCAACCACTGCGCCACCAGGAAAGCCCTGCTTATGTATTTTTTCTGTACCTCCTAGTGTGCTGTCAATGCTAGTAACAACTGTAAGGATGAAACAATAACAGTAACTGTAATATTAGCTGTGTGTCAGTAAGCAGTAGACACAATGGCCTTTTAAAGTTGACTGAGAGGGAGGAGATGGAAAAAGATAATTAGCTGTGGAGATTTAGGTTAGATATCAGAAATAGCTCTCTGAAATCAGGATTGACAAACAAGTGAAGGAGTTACCAGGTTTGGGCATAGATAGGTAATTTTTTTAAAAGATTTCGGAGTTTTCTAAACTAAAGACAAGGGCATGGATGCAATGGCTCTTCAAGTTTCTCCCAGCCCTGTCAGGTTACGAATCTCCCCCACGCAGGCATGTTGGAAACACAATTGATTCCCACCAAGGTACACTGAGAATAGCCCCTGCTTGGGTTACACTGCCTTAAAAGCTTGTCTCTGCCCAAAGCTTTCCTTAATGGCTCTTTACTAGCATGTGAAATTCTGACACTTAGTAATGGCTATGATTTCATGGTCCTTAAAGTCCAGGAACTTGCCTAAGCCCAGGTAGGGAGCTCCACAGCGCAGCACGTGAGGCCCAGCGGCCCACACCCTTCCCGGTGGACTAAACAACAGCTGCAGGCTTCTAACCTAGCTAGAAGGGACCCAGCTAGCTTTGGGTCTCTGATTTCTGCAGAAGCCAGGATGTGATCCTGAGGAGATGACTCTTCTCAGGATTGAATATCTTAATGACTCCCATTTAGGGTCTGTATAACACTCATCACTGGCTCCCAATATTGGGACATTAATGTTAGCTCGTATGTATTACCTAAACCTAACCGTAAAAGGGCTAATGATTTATCCATCTGTAGTTTCTGTAACTCCTAGGAGCTGTGTAATCCAGTCATTCTGTATTTGTGCGACCATTACTGACGGAGTTCTAGGGAGTCTTGGGAGATGAATTTCGAAAAGTAGATTGAACCCAGATTATAGAACCTTAAATGCCTGGTTAGGAGTTTCAATTTGTAGGTTAAGGCAATAGGGAGGCTTTGAAGGTGTTTGAGAACCGCATGATGAAAGAGCACTTTACATTTAAATGAGCAAATATTTATTGAGGAAAAGGACAACTATTAAGTCCCTATTAAAGGACAGCTCTATGGTTAAGCGCAAGAGAAAGAAGGTCCTTGCCTTCAACGAATTTATGGTTGCTAGGTGTTGTTCTGTTTTTTGTTTTTAATATAGGGGGGACAGTATTCTGAGATATTAACAAGTGTGGTTTTCCTACATTTTCTCTACCCCAGCCTGTTCCCTCAGGGTATGGATATTCCACAGCAGAGATTTAGAGAAAAGAGTCTTCTCTTGACTTCCAGGTCTCGAAATGGCCTTTAAGTAGCCACAGCAGAGACAAGAGTTTTATAGAAAAGCCCTGGATTTTCATGAGCTGCAAGACAACATAAACCATAGATTTGGAACTACAATTTTAGGGGCCCAAAAAAAGTGCTGTTAAAGGTTTTCCCACAGTCTCTCTCTCAACTTTCCTTGCCTTTTTTTTTTTGTTTGTTTGTTATTTAATGTTATTCTAAGTAAACAATAATTGAAAATATTAGCCTGAATTTTATCATTTATTTTTATATTGTGAAATATCAGTTTTAAATTCAAATATAAGAGCATTTAACTTATAAGCAGAATCACTAAAATGATCTAATTCATATTTCATAGCTTGTAGGTGCTTATGTATTTCGTTCTTACCAGAACAGTGGAAACGCTGCACAAAACTAATTCACTTGTTTTTATTTCACTTCTTGATATGTGCTCACTCCACCAACCCTCTACCTTCAACTTACTGTTGAATGAGGAAGGACTAAAAGGAAAAGGAACTATGCGGCGCCCTAAGATTTCCCTTTCCTCCTATGTCTTCATTTTCAGGATATGTGGTTGGCTAATACAGAGAGTATCAAAAGAAACAAAGGCTCCGATAAGATTCCTTGGTTGTTCATGTCTTTAGAATACCATGGCCCTTTTTCTACCTTCAAAACCAGTCCTGGTTTGAATGGAAAGCATGACCTCTCAGGGCTGTCAGCGCCCCAACTTAATCAAAGATGAAATACACTTACATCTTGCTGAACTCGAAATCATGTGGGACAACCGGAATTCTGTGCTCATGGGGCAGCAAGAACAGCAGACGTGCAATGCATGCATATGCCCTCTGCTCATACTCCACTGTCCCATCGGATTTCACATACAAAACATAGGTTCAAAAATAAAATCAAGACTTTTGAGATGGCATAGCAGCAGAAAGCCCTTCTGAGTGTGGGCCCCTGTGTGACTGCAGAGGTGGTACATCCATGATGCTGGCCCTGTTTACCAGAATGGTTGAAGGTCCCGGCTGCCCTGCCTCAGGTGAGATAATGGTGCTCTGGACTGGGGGTGGGAAAGAAAGCCTGTGGCTTTGAATACAAACATGTCATTGAGAAAGGGGGCTCCATGTTCTGCTCTTGTGCCCCACACACCCACCTCTTCACCAGGTCAGACCTCAGAAACCACTGGGAACTGGGAAGATAAAAGCAGGGAAGACCAGAACCTTGCATCCAAGGCTTCCAATGAAAACTTGGGAAATAGAAAAATATCGCAAAGAAAAAAATTAAGCTATCTATAATCCTACCGTCCAGAGAGAGCGACTGTTAAAGTTTTGTGTGATTTGTAATATATATTTATACAAAATTTGTAAAGGTAAACATTTCTCATGCCACTGAATACGCTGCTAGAAAAGTTTTAAATATAACTTCCCATTTTAAGGTGAGGATTTGGTGGTGGTTTGCACAGTGAATTCTGGAGGGAAGAGTCTGTCAACAGAGAGCCTGGTCAGAAGATAAATGCAAGAATCCCAGAGGGGATC